GCCGCAGCGCGGCGAATTGATGGCATCGCTGAAGCGAAGTCTAGCGGAGACCTTCCTGCTCGAACCCTTAATTAACACTTCTTGCCTTTTTTTCCCCCATCTATATAAAAGCAGAACCACCTGCTGCCTCTCCTCCCGGTGGGGAGGTAACTCACTTCATTATGTCAATTAACAGCAAAGGCGGCCAAACTTCCAAAATTTCAGGAGGGGTTTTCAGGCCTGATGCCTTTGGCTCTGCAATCACAGAATTTGGGCCTCCGGATGGAGCACGAGTGCGTCAGGAAGAGGCGAGCGATTGCAGGGGGTCTCGCCCTGTCCTTCCCCAAGGGGAGAGGGCCGGGGGTCTGCAGAGACCCTATCAATTGAGCATCCCTGTGTCTTCCTTTTGCGGCCCACAGCTGTTCTGCTGAGCTGTACGCCCCCAAATCTCCTCTGGGAAACACAGGTTCCTCTGGGATGTTCCCCGGGCGTGGGGCACGCCCGGAGCACGCTGCCCCGCAGCCCTCCCTCGCCTCCACCTCCCAGGGAAATAATGTGAAAGGAGCTGCCGCATTCCCTTCCTCCATGTAAAATAAACACTGTTGGTAGCCTAATTAAACTTAATAGTTCACAGGAAAGGCTTTAACACAACCCAAAACGTCTCGGGAGGGCTCTGAAGTTATACGTGCTGTACAGCCCCGCTAGGCAATCACGCTGCCGTGAGGGGAGCACAGCCTGCATCGGTGTAGGCCCAAACTGCTGCTTTTCTGCTCTCAGCCCTCCTAACGCAGCCCAAACACATCCACTCCCTTAAAATCATCGCAGTGCACTTATTTCTCCTGGCCTTACAACCTCTGCGCAGCAGTAACAGCTTGCTCTGGAGGCGTGCCTGGCTGGAGATAAAGACTTCTCAGGGCACAGACTTCTCTCGCCTCCCCTCGTGTCCGCAGCAGTCTCCTGCCTGCCAGCAGGCCAGAAGGATGTTCCTGGGGCTCCCAAACTGCTGTGCGTGGTCAGGTTGAAGATGGCTTGTCCCAGCCCTGCCGGGCACGGGGGTTTCTCCTGTCGGTCACGTCACCGTACATCGCAGGCCCCACCAGCTGACTGCTGCTCTTCCAGCTTTCAATGACTTGTCATCTCCTAAAGCCATTCCCAGCCCAGATCTCCTTGGACATCTCGCCAGGCACGAGTGCTGGAGCGTAAACGAATTCCGATTTTTTTGGTCCCCTTCTGCAGCGCCCTCAGAGCCCTGGTCTCCAGTCATCCCGCAGCCTCAGGCCCTCAGTAACTCAGTCATCCCAGACTCATCCCAGTAACTCGTGTCAGTACTTTGACGATGGAGGAGAGCGATGGGATCCTTGTTGCAAGTGGAACAAATGATCCAATTCTCTGTCTGCAGATGGGTGAGGTTTTGCTTACCTGGCTGCCATGGCCCTGCCCTCCTTCTGGGCTTTGTTAAGCCCCTGTTGTACCTGCAGCAGCTCAGGAGCCTGCTTCAGGCTTGACTCCAAGTTAAAAAAAAAAGATTTTTTACAAAGACTGAGTGCTAAATGCAAAGCAGACCGTCTCTTTGGGACACGAGCGCTTGGATTGCTTTGTCCCATCTGCTGTGCTCATGTATCCCATCTTTTAAGCCAGCAGATCTCCTCTTGAAGACTTCTCCTGGGCCAAGCCCCGGAGACCTTGGCTGCATCTCCAGAGCTGCCGGGGCCTTGACGATACACGGGTTGTCTCCAAAAAGTATAAACCCTAACACCAAGCGAGCGAAGCAGGCGGGATCAGAGCCTGCAGCCCCAGCGGCCGGTCTGCTGCTGCAGCGGCCACAACAGGAAAGAAAACTGGTCCCCTGCTCTGAAGAGGGGAAGAAACCAATGACCCTGAGCAGGGTGCTTGAAGGTGGCTCGTTTTGGCCCAGCAAACGCTCATGGGGCTCTCCACAGGCTCGTTTTCAGAAGAACTGGTGACACAGGCAGGTTTAAAACGCACCTGGATCCTTTTGCAGCGGAACAACCGCACGGCCAAAGCGGGAGGCCCTGCGCTCGGTGCCACCACTGGTGCAGCAGATGCTGCCGAAGCGCTGACAGACTGGAGAAATCCTCTGAAAAGTTTTGTTTCAGCGCCGTTGGCTGCAGAAGCTGGGGGTGCTCGGGCTGCTGGGGGCTCCGGCCCACGTGTCGAGGAGAGCCGTAAGCCAAAGCAGCACATCAGCCCATGTGCCTGTGCTCCCAGGGACTGGGAAAATCCATGGGACAGGAGTGCTGCCCCCAGTTAATCCCACTTTGCAGTCGAGCAGGTCTTGCAGAAACAGCCCCCCTCGATTTTGATTCCTAAAAGGAGGGAGATTCCGCAGAGAGCTGAACTTCTCGTTCTGCATCCAGAAGAGCATCTGCAAAACGGGCTTGACAAAACCCTGCTGCATCTGTGTCCTGCCTGGGTTTCAGAGCAGGAGTTGGGCCAGGAGGGGATTTGGGGTAGAACAAGGGGACTTGGCTGAGTTGTGCCCAAACACCAGATCCCAAACGTCCTACTCCAGAGCATCCCCTGGCCAGAGCAGCTGGCAGCACGCGCAGGACCACGTCTGAAGGCCAGGAGAGCATTTCCCTGCAATCTCCCCTTCTCCCTTTGAGTTCCTCCCAAAGTAGATGCTTTTTGGGGGAGCGGGGTTCCTCTGTGCTGTTGGGGGGAGGGCTGGGCGCCTCGGGAGGCGGCACTGGGACCCTTCTGCGCCTCACGCCCCTCTTTTTGCCATTGCAGCGGTTTAGTCCCTCACATCTTGGGGGACGTCATCTTCCTCTGGTGCTGCAACCTCCTGGCTCACTTCATTAACACCTACGCAGTGGATGATAACGTGAGTGGAAGTGCCTGATGGAGGGTTCGGGGGGGCCTGTGCAAAAGCACCTGCAGTTGGAAAGAGTTATTGGGGAGCGGGGGCTAATTTAATGCAAACAGGCACTGGGCTTTGGCTGTAGAAGCTCTAAAGCTGCAGTGCCTTTGGCTGAATCCCTGTAAAAGCTCTAAAGCTGCAGTGTCTGCTCAGGGCTGTGTTTCAGCTGCAGTTGAAGGGGTCAGGTTTGACAGTAAATTTCTTCCGTGGTTCTCAGCCAGGATGCAGTGTGGTTACTGTTGCTTTCTGCCTCGTCCCCCTGCCCCACACCCATCATCTCAGGCTCAAAGGGTGGCACATAATGACAGCGACAGCCTGGTGTCATCCACCTCCTCCAGAATCCCTTTGGTTTCTCTTTCCAGTTCAGCCAGGCATCGGTGATCCGGAGCTACACAAAATTCGTGATGGGGGTACGTAGGCAACCGCCATGTCCTTTCCCCTCTTCCTGCCATCCGTGGGGCGAGAGCTCATGGTCTGGGGGCAAAGGCTGGTCTGTACTTTATGTCCAAATGAGGATAACTTTGCTACCATGCAAAAGGGTTTTTTTTTGACATGATGAGCATTCGAGAGGCCACTGGTTTTCTGTGCTTTCAGATCGCTGTGAGCATGCTGACGTACCCGTTCCTTCTCGTGGGAGATCTCATGGCAGTGAACAACTGTGGGTATGTCCGTCACACTGAGATCTAAGGCTTTCCCCTTCCTTTCTTCCAGCCCCTTGTTGTCTGAATCCTCCGCTAACGACCGTAAAGCTTTCATACAGAACCGTAAACTATATGGCACCTCGCAGAGTTGGCTCGTTTCCTGTCCCAGGTCGCTTATAATTTTAGATCAGAGGGCACAGACAAGAGCAGCACAAAAGCTCAAGCGGAGAGAAATAGGGAAGAGTCGTGGTGGTGTGGTCAGATCTGAACTAGACCAGAGGCAGAAGGGATCAAAGGGACCGTGCTGGCTCCGGGGAGCAGCACGAGGGAAAACAAAAGGACTAAGTGTGGGGATGGGTGCAGAGAGGAGCAGGACCAGGCTTGCTTTCCCGGTCGCACTGCTGCAAGAAGTCGTCTGCTTATGGGAAGGGGGCTGGATCCAAGCCGCTGGTGTAGTGTTTGCTCAGTATCTGCTGGCTCTTGAAGGTGTAGATACAGCATATAGTGCTGGTCTCTTCACGTATCCAGGTAACACTCCTTGTTTGTGCACTCCAGGGGTAATTAAATTACTTGATCTGTTGCATTGTAAATAATGAGCTGGTCATTTGGCCTCCAGCCCGGTGCGGACACCGTTTCTGTGTCCTCACTTACACTTGCTGCTGCTCTTGTGTTACCTGTCTCGGTGACGTGACATCTGTACAGACTGTCTCAGCTATTTCTCGTTGCCATGCAGATTGCGTGCCGGCCTCCCTCCCTACGCTCCCGCCTTCACATCCTGGATCCATTGCTGGAGGTATCTCAGTGCTCAGGTGAGGGAGCAGCGCACACGCAGGGCTTTTGGGGCTCCCTCTGCTCCTTCCCAAGGTCTCCAGCACCGCGCTGCATCCGTGATGGTCTGTAAGCAGTTTCCATCCCTCCAGTTCTGGCACTGCCACCCGGCGTGGCAGTACTGGTCTGCCCGTTGCATGCCCTGAGCTTGCAGCCTGCAAGCTTTTAGCCAGCGCGTGGCACGCAGCAAAGCAAGGTGGCTCTGTCCCTCTCCGTCCGTCATCCCTGGGGGAAATGCCCAACTCCAGCACCCACGGGGCTCAAACCCCGCTTTCTCCTCCGTAGCGACCTGGGATGCTCGGACCTTGCCGTGGGCACGAGTTGGTTCCTGCTAAACCAGCTGCAGTTCTCCAGCCGGGTATCAGCGTGGCTGCCCTGACCCTGCTCTCTGTCTCCTCCCCAGGGGCAGCTGTTCCGTGGCTCCAGCCTGCTCTTCCGCCGAGCGCCCATGCCAGCCGCCTGCTTCCCCATCGACTGACTCCTTGGCAGGGAGAGGTGGTGAACGTGGACTCCTCGAGAAACCCCAAGCTTGTTTCGATATATGTGTACTTTTTCTTTTCGATCTGAAGTGCGTGGTGCCAGAACAAGACACCTCCTCTCCAGCCAGGCCAGCAGCAAGTTGGCTTCTGAGATCTGGCTTCAGGTTCCAGCTGGACCAAAGCTCCATCCTCACGGCTGTCTCAACTGGGATGCGTACCAGGGAGAGCAGGAGGGCGTTGTCTTGTCTCTTTGGTCCAGGCTGTAGCTCTGGAGTCACTGGGGAAGTCCAGGAAGCCAGAAAATGCCCAGGTACTTAAGCCAGCCCTGAGATGCAGGGTCAAAAGACTGCTTCGTCCTGCCTAAGCTGAGAAGCAGCAGGAGATCCAGGGTCACCTTGCTGGGAAGGCTGTGCCAGCTGACCAGCCTCCTGTTTCATCTCTTCTGGAGAGGGCAAACGTTTGTGTGGCGGGTAGCTCATCCTGGGCAAGATAGACTTTGTGACCCATATTTAAGGTTTTGAGGGTACCTGAACGCTAGGGATGGCAGCACCTCCCGTGGGCGTGAAAGGGAAACGACAGTATCGAAACAGAAGAGGGGAACAGAGTCCCACTACATCGAACAGCACAGTCCCAAAGAGACAGGTACGGCTCGGCTCCGGGGCAGCGGTGGGACTTGGACACAGAGGGAGCACTTGGGAGGGACGTGCGCCGCAGACGGCAGCTGCTTTGGGAAGGCTTTTTGCAGCGGGACGGGCTGAATTCGGGCTACACCCCACAGAGCTGCGGGGTGTCGCCCGGGCACGCAGCCTGTACACAGTTCTCAGGGGAGGTGGGTTCTGGGTTGGACCGGCACTGCGGCGCGGCTCAGGTGGCTCCCAGCCGGCAGGGCCAC